TCATGGCGGCATCTCTTTCTATAGAGCTATTGAGCAAGTTATATTCCAAAGGTTAGCAAACTGTAAGCTTCATTGTAGCTAAACCTAAAACATTGTAGCTTTGTTACCTTCTGAACGTTATAACGTACTATAGCATTGGTGCAAAGCATTAAAGCGCTATTCATGTTTAAGATGATACACGTGCTAGGGTAAGCTGTTCGGTAGTACAGCCTTTTCTACTGGCTTACAAGCAGACGAACGTCTCCATATAAAAGCTCGGACAACTGTTCAGAGTCCATTTTGAGTTCGTCTAAGCAACATAGCTATTACGTATTGTAAATCTATCGTTTAATTTTCCCTCCCTTCCTCCCTTTGGAGACGAGGTTGGTCGTGTATTCCTGCATAATAAACAAAGGCTCACTCCTGTGTGGTGCGGTTAAGTCTGCGCAGCGACTTCTCCCAAGCTTGTTGTTTTTTCATCACCTTTGAACATCGCTTACTAACCAATACTCTTGTCCGATCCAGCACATGCTGTCTGTCATTCAGCTCATAGTGCTGGGGAGATAAGTGAGGTTGTTTTATCACACTATCGCCGGAAGTCGCATGGGCTAACCAAACGCAAGGCAGTGTTCCCCCATTAACCCCATCACGAGTTGTTTGTATTTGAGTAATAGCTCAGGTTCAATTGCAAGTTGCCACGGTTAACTTACTTTTGCTAGGAACAACGACATTAACAGATCCTACAAGTTTAAAACACTCAAAACAAGTAATAATAAGTAAGTATAGTAATACTTGTCAATGATCTTTTCTTTTTCTTTTAAAATTAGCTTTTTATACACTCAGCAAGAAGTTCTTTATGGGGGCCAAATGGTGTTTATTTCCTAACTGAGCATTGTATAGTTTCTTGTACACGCCAGTACATTATCCTGAAATTCACGATGTTAGTATAAATGTACTGTAACAATGCATCATGTTCGTACCTAGTGGAAGCACAGACAATAATCAGATGTTAACCTCGGATGTCTGCTTCAAAATGACTTCCAGGCTGTGACTATTATATAAGTAGACAAAGTTGTGTCCATGTGTTGTGCGCTTTTAAAGGGAATCTTGGTTAAAAACAGTATTGTACATGTAAATAATGTTCCAAATCAAAAGTTTGTGTATGTGACAAACTGAGAGGTTCAAAGTTGATAATTCTTCACCTGTTATGAAAATCGGAATGGACAGAAATGACCCTAAAGAACCTTTACTGGATATTAAGGTCTTGATGATAACCCAGTCTTTAGAGCTTAAGAGGCTGTCTCTGTAAAAAGCGATCACTGATTTTACATCGAAAATTCAATTTTTCTCATAAGCTGGGATTTCAAAGCCCTTACCTAGTCAATCACTAAAATGAGTTTTATTTCATTAAAAATTCCAATTGAAGTTTTCTAGGATTGATTGAAGTTCGGTCCGCTCGACACAAGTTTCATGCCCACCGAAACCGGAAAAATAGCACATATTGCCTGCGTTCTAAAAAAAATAATATTCTTTCAAAAGTCCCAATTCTTTTTTTCAACTATAGATATATCACGGCAGTTTGTTTAGCCATGTTGCAATTATAATTCAATGTTGTTCCTTCAACCGTTAAAAGAAGATTTTCTACCCATTAAATTGAGTTTTGAACCAAACGCGAAAATAGCTCTACTTTGCAGGCACATTTTAAAAATGTGGCACCTGTTTGAAACTGCTGAACTACATGAATAGAAAGTATAAATGTCCCTTAATTTAAAACAATAATACTCATGGGAAGATTGGGAACTAAATCACTTGTTGTAAACACTATGCAATATTTCATATCCAATTAATTAGGTGGAATGACAATCGGTCGTTTTCCGTTTCTCAGCTTCTTTCTTCTCAACAAAGGCATGGCCAAAACAGTTAATATTTTTTTTCCAAATTCTACAGTTCTACATATGAAGTACTGCATAGTGATAATCAGCAAGCATAAATCTCTCAAAAGGTGTTGGGTTTTCCTGTATTCTTATTGGTTATCTTTTTATAGACCTGTAAAGTTCTAGCATCTAATAATTTGCCAACCCTCTTGCGTTCATGGTTGTCACAAGAGAGATATCCACGATATAAAAATCCCTGATAAGTTTTTGTTCCTCGATGCTTAAGGAATGTTTTGGTCAAATCTTATGAAAATCCGCCATTTCTACATACCCTATTAATTCATTTAACGAGATGGTATTCTCCAGAAAAACTATTGCGAGTTATCGTTGTTTGAAGATTTTTAACCCTTTGACCGCCGCATTTTCACCAAAAAATGCCATTTTTAACTGTTAAATCAGTCTTTCGGTGGCTATGATGCTAAATGGACCTTAGTTTTGCTGAAAAAGCTATTTTTTACCAAAAGATGGATTTCCCCATGATTAAGAGCAAATTTCCGGTAAATATCGAGAATGAGATGACAGTCGCAAAATTTCGGATTGCTTCATATTTGCCCAAATAACGTCTACATTGTATAGTGAGTTGTTTTCGAAAATACCATTCAAAGGTCCTGAAGCACTTTAGTTTTTTTTCGAAATCGAGGAAAATTCGAAAATCGCCATTTTAGACATTTAGGCTGTTTGCCGCCGCCTAAAATAACCCAAAAATGTGCATTTTCGTTTTGCTCATACAGATCAACACGATAATATCTATCAATCTACTTTGGGAAGCTCAGAGTGCATGTCTTGCTGTTTCTAAAGCATTAATTTGATTAGCAAAAGCTCCAAGTGTTATAATATTTTAGGCCGATACAAGTACCTTCATCGAAGCTCGTGAGCGAAAGGGCTAATTTTAGCTAATTTCAATACCATGAAAAGCCCACTGGTACATTGAATTTGAAGTCGAAACTAAAATTTTATGAAAGTCCATACTTTATATTATGTTGTGTGGGCAGAGGGCTTTTGGTGGTATTGAAATTAGCTAAAATTAGCC